CCTTTAGTCTTATTATTTTGAATGTTACCAAATTGTTTAATTATATAATTTGATGAAAAAAACGAAAAACTTTGAATGTAAAATGTTAAGAAGAAAAAGTAAGAGTTGAACTGTATACATTGTGTGATATTTAATTCATATTAATATAATTGCCTTCTTCGATGCTTACCAAACTTATTGATTCACTGTGAATACTTTGGAGGTAAATTCTCTCTCAATTTAAAAAAACATTAGAAAATATCCATATTTCAATGAGGACATTCATTATAATTCCAATCCAAAAAATGCGATCGTTAATACCAACATCTGCGGTTTGACTTTTATTAGCTCTTCTTCAGTTATGAAGCAATTCGATAATTGCATTTATGCAATTATTAAAAAAACCATTATCGCGTGCAAAATGTAATCAACATCGAAAGTATTTGGAATTAATGTTCAATTAATAACCGTCAGTTTGATAAAAATATAATTAAAAAGATTAATTATTATAATCTTTTCATCTCTCTGACTAATCTTTTGACTAACATGCCCGACTATGGATAAATCAATACTGTTTCGCAGTTCCTTCATATTACATCATTCTTCTATTTAAGATTGTTATATGGAAAAGTGTACGAGTAAATACCTTGATCTAGAATAAAAGCAATCGTAGCACTGCAAACTTCAAAATTTTAGCAGCTATAACTGCGTTAAAAATAAACGAAATTTAAAAAAAGAATTTCAAAGTATTTTAAATTTCATCTTTTAAAATCTCTACTTTTTTCGAAAAGACAGTATGTCTTTTGAATTTTTGTGAATCTGGTAATTTTTATATATAAAAAAATTAAAAGCTAGACAAAATGGGAAATGTTCATCTCACTTTGCCTATGCCTAATTTCTATGAAAGATTCAAGTTTTCACCACAAAATCCTTTTTTTTATAAATATTCCTAAGATTTTTTGTTATTGAGTTATCGCGGATCAAATAAAAGGAGTATTTTGAGTTTGATTACTCATGACTCCGTTAAAAATCGTCATACTGCAATTTAAAAAACAGACATTCCTAAAGCTGAAACTTTGCTTTATCAAATGCAAAATTGTCAAATTTTTTAAAAAACATGTAGACATAGGGTGAGGCTATTCCGTCAGTTTCAACTTTAGTAATACGAAAATTTACGATAGTAAACAATATCTCTTTGCAGTGACATGATTATAATTATATTATACAATCATGATTGCTCGTTGAGGGCACAAGTACACTAAGAAAAAAATATCTTAATTTCAAAGAAATATTTCTTTACTCGTATTCAAACAAATTATTACTTTGGATCAATGAAAATTTCTTTAAAATTAAAATATGTTTTTTAAAGTGAAAAAATATCTTAATTTCAAAGAAATTTTCATTAATCCAAAGTAATAATTTGTACGAGCAAAGAAATATTTTTTTGAAATTAAGATATTCTTTTCTCAATGTACAATCTTTATCAAATACAACCCTAATCAACATGTTCTGTTCAGAAACATAAATATCGTGAGAAATGAACGAAAAAGCACCGCCTTACCCTAATACAAATAAATAGCACTACAAATTTTTGTTCAAACTCAATAAAATCCGACAGATTTGTTTACTCGGCGTATTTTTAATGTTAATTAAACGGGTATCTATTACGCAAACTAAGTCAGGATGTTCTTGGGAGCGACAAAATGAGAGAAACTCTACTACGCTAGAGAATAGTTTAAAATTTAACTATTTAGCTATTTCTCGGCACATCGAATCTTAAGCGACAGAATCTTTTCTGTGTTTCCTTCGTATGTCGAATACTCGTACTTGTGCTTCCAGCATATATATTTTTTATACGACATCATTTTTAAACCGCGAAGCCTTAAAGGAGAGATAACGCATTTATATGCAGAATGTAAATTAAAATTGATAATATAAAAAGGCGCTATCAGTGATGAGAACGTGATCGAGACATGTAAAATCGAAGTAATTTGATGAAAGTAATCATGCCTAGTTGCTTTCTAGAAATGACCTCGCGCTCCAGAATATATCGACAGTGGCAAAATTATTATTAAATAAGAATAAGTACTTAATAATAAGCAATGCTTAATAGTTCTCAGAAAGAATTACGAAAGTACGCTTTTAATAAAATTATAACAAGTTTTTCATTGATCAAATATTTTGCCAATTAAATATTTCAATATAAAGTGTATAAATTTTTACATTATTTTTTCTTAATTTTGCAAATAAAACGGTAAAAAAACAGAAACTTTATTGTCATTCTTAAAAATCGAAAATGTATTAGCACATTAAAAATTAATTATGCCACTACAAATCAAATATTTTATCATAAATAAAATTAGAAAAAACGGGTAATAGAATTTATTCTATCTATTCAACTCACGAATGACATTCTCTTTTGCCGAAATTAAATACTGTAAAAAAAATAATTTTGTGGTGGTTTATATACTGTAGTGCGTATTATATAGGAACGTTTACTTTTAGTAACATGAGAGGAGCTTTAATTTCTTATTATGCAAGAGATGTCCTGAGATACCCCGAAACTATGGATCATTCGTTTAGGACATCCTGTGATAACTTCGATACTTTTAACGAGTCTTTTAAACGCTGTGATTTGTAAACCTTCGAAGAATATAAATTATTGATGTAAAATGAAATTTGCAATATGATCTAATATGTTTATTAGGTATACAACAATAAATTGCATAAATTGCGCACGGCAGAGAACGGTCTCCAAAGCGACTATGAAAGTAATGATTAATCCAAGTATATAATTAATATTAGAGTCCGAAATCACATTTTGATCTCCAGTCGAAACCGAAAACGAATATTCGGTTGTCATTCAATTTCGGCCGAAAACGAAATCGAAACTTCGATAAGCATCATTAAAAAGAGAGAGAGAGAGAGAGAGAGAGAGAGAGAAGCTAATGGAGTCACATTTTTTCGACCGGAGTTGAAATCGACATTTTTGGATTAATTTTACAGAGATCGTATAATTTTTAGAAATCATGACAAATTTATGTACTCTTTAAAAAACAAGATTTTATTAAAATATCTAACTATAATAATATAATAATATCGCATCCACTATTTTTAAAGAAATCAAATTATAGTTATTATTAAGATCAAAGTTTGTACTCAAATTGTCTTAAGCTTCATCAACGAGTTAATAGTTAAAATCGAACAGTTGTTTTTTGAACGCTCACCGGCGCGTTGCAACTTATACAATTTCGGTTTACCCACTGAAATTTTCTCTTAATTTCGGCCGAAACCGAAATCAAACCGAAATCCTGATTTTTTACCGAAACTGACCGAAACCGAAATTTCGGTTGGACTCTATTAATTATACTCGTTTATATAAATTTTATTTATATTACGTGCGTGTTTATATAAATTATTTTCAAAAATATTGGAAATAAATTATGTATAATCAAAGTAAAAATTTATAGTGAGCGCTCCGAAGTGATGTTTGCCAGTCACTTGAATTTGTTAAAAATATCAACAATTATTGAATTATAGCTACTCGTACATTGTAGTACAAGTAGCTGTTGTGTTATAGTTCGATCTTTGGAAATATTTCGGGTACCAAAGAAGAAAAGTTTGACGCACCTACTCTTTTTAGGTTGAACTGCTGTTCTCGTATTGTCGGAACTATCACGAAGAGAAAAGTATTCGATATTTATGACTATGATTGCACAGTAAATTAATTATGGGGTTCCATTTTTATAACTATTGTTATAATAATTATTACTATGTTAATAATATAATAATTATATTTATAATTTTATATAAAAAAACATAATTTCCTAGTCATTTTTTCGATGCCAAGTATATCTATTTTTTAATATAGAATTATAAATATAATTATTGCTAACACTATAACAATAACAACTATAAAGATAGAGCTTCTAACCATAATTATTTTACAAATTATTGTCACAAATACCAAATATTTTTCTTTCAGTGTAATTTCGGCGAGCGTTACAAAGACTAAATGATTGTTACGACGGTTATTCCTACAATACCGTTCGAAGTATCTATACAATGTAATTTGCCAAGGGGTACCTTCCAAAATTTAAAGCCTCTTGTCCAAAATTTAAAGTATCTTGTCGAGTTGCTCGTCGACAGTCTTCTATTTTTTATTCCGAGATACTTTAATGGTATAAAAAAAAATTATCGATGAAAAACTGCGAAAGCATAAACTGTCATTTTCTACGTCGTAAACTTGCGGAACAAGGAGAAAACGGCACCAATCTATATGTGCTGTTCGAGCACTATTCAAACATATTGAAAAATTAGGAGAGACCGAGCGGTTAAATCGCTTTAATATTGCGATAGAATGATGTAAAAGACCTAAAAGCCATTTGTAACGAAGAGATTTGTTCACTTTTGCGAAAATAATCCCGAGTAATATTTCTCTCGACCGAGATGATGACGTCGAATCTGTTCAACTTGTATCACATAGTTTTCAAAATTAATAAATCTCATTGTTTATTGCGGTACTTTTTGATTTTCTTCCACAACTTTTTTTCGCACATAACAAATTGCATGTAATGATTGATCAAAATTTGATATATTACATTCAAAAATATAATTAATTATATAATATGAAGTATAATCAATAAAAGATTGTATGTATATATAATCTTTTAATATATTTAATCTTTAATTGTTTATGCTTTATTATATAATTATTTTTGTATAATATAAATGTATGTGTAAAAATAATTTAATTTTTTTGTGAACATATATAATATATATATATAATCTTTATATACATACATATATATATATATGTCAAAACAATATTAAATCATTCATTAAATTATTGTTGCACTCATTGTTTTCAAATGGTAATCTATATTTAAAGTAGTATGTAATTAAATATACAAATTTTCATTATTTAATTAATAATAAACACTACTGTAAGTATGGTCATCGGCAGAAATTTTTCGCACATGATCTTACAGAAAAAAAGAAAAAAAAATTTCAGTACATACCTTTTCCTGCGTCCGATTCCACACGATCACACTATGACCACTGTTGATCAAATTTTTCACGATACCGCTACCCATGATGCCGAGCCCGAGGAAACCAAATTTCAAAGTCGATGGAAGGATATTCTTCTCTCTGAGAGTTTGCGACATTGTTTCGACGTCTAAAGGTGGCGTAACCTGCGAAACAAGGAAAAGGAACGTTACGGGAAGGGAATAAACACCTATTCCTAATATTTTCTTTGCAAAGAAAAACAATTTTATGTGAATTTTATGTTATTTTTAAAATGTATCTTTTTCAAATAACACACAAATGTTCCTTCCACAATAAATGATTAATCCAAATCTTCAAATTCCCTATTCTAGATAATAATTTGAACTGTTGTAAATAAGAAAATCGTAAGCTATCAATGATAAAAAATTAGAATTAATTTGTGATTTCAGGATAACGTTTTAGTAAAAAAAAAAAAAAAATTAATTGCAATTAAGCAAAATTAATGCAAAAATGCAATTAATTGTATTTAAGACCCATTTTAACAGACTTTAATAGATTCTTATTAGACTTTTTAATTACTAAAATATTTTAACACTAAAAACAAAAAATTATGAGAAAATATTTCTAAAAATTTCTACGAAAGAATATACGTTCTAAAAGAATTTGTAATTGGAAAAAAATACTTTATAGAATATTATACATAAAAAAATGTCTCAAAATAAAATAACTATTAAACTGTGTTTAAAAAAAACTTTCCTTGAAAAACAAATTCTGGGACAGTTTACGATGATTTCTATTTTATGGTATTCTATTTTACACATTGTATTCAGAGAAACAAGAGTATATATAATAATAGGATATAGTACTCCTAATTTTTTCTTTTTTTAAAAAGAGGAATAACTTCACGAATTTTATATCATTCTTGAAACGTATTTTTTCAATAAGAAATGTTCCTTCCATAATGAACGATTTAATTAATTTAATAATTAATCTAATAATTTAATTAATCTAAAGATGTTATTTCAGCCGAAAATTAAGAACGCAGATTTGCTGAATTCCGTGCGGACATTTCTCCCAACCTGATCGAAATAGAAAAACATTCACACGGAATTCGAGAAATCCGAGTTCTCAAATTCTGGCTGAAGTAATATTTTTCGCAATAAATTATTTACAGATTTTTAAGACAGTCTATTTAAACTGAAAATTGTCACAAAGAAATTATTCACAAAGAAAATATTCACAAGAAATTTATTAAGCACAAAGAATCGGCTTGATCGAATATTTTTCATTCATGTATGTTTAAAATTAATCTAATTTAATAATCTAAATCTTCAAATTCTCAACGGTATATAATTTAAACTATTATAAATAAGGAAATCGCAACTTATCAAAGATAAAAAATTAAATTTAACCTGCGTAACTTCCAATGAAGTTCTAGTTAAAAACATTAAAAATAAAATGCAATTAATTGCATTTCATTATTTCTTAAAATTTTAAAAGAATTTTTATTAAATCTTTCATATTTTCTTATTTCTTTTATCTTTTTATTTAATGCTAAAATATTTGCAAAAAATAAAAAAATTATAAGGAAACATTTCACAAAAATTTCGATGGAAAAATATACGTTCTAAAAAGATTCACTGGTCGGGAAAAATATTCTTTACACACACTTTTATGTAGAATTTTAGAGGAATATTCTGATAAAAGATGTCTCAAATAATAAAAATACTGTAAATGTCTAAATAGGACCCCTTTTCTTTAGACAAATTCTAGAATATACAAGCTTTACCTCGTTTCTATTTTATGGCATATTTAGGTAAACAAAAGCACACTTAGGCCGTTATTCATAGTCGGTTCTTATTCCAAGTCTTAAGTATACCGTCTTAAGTAACGTCTTAAGACGCTAATGCAACCCTCTGATTGGTTCGTGACACCTCAAGGATGAACTTAAGACGATCTTGAATATAAGAACTGACTATGAGAATACCGACTTTAATACATAATAAAAATATTATTTATCTAATAAATACATTAATAACACTGTAAAAATTTCTCAAAATTAAGAATAATTTAGAAAAGAATAAAAAAATCATTAAAAAGAGTTAGATAGATCTTTAAATAATTAGGATTCCATCGAACAATTAGGATCTTTGAATAATTAGGATAGATTGCGCCTAATGCGCTTATAGATAAATCCTATCCTGAATATACAATTAAATATAATTCCGATATTGTTTATTTAATGCAAAAGTAAATCTTAATTCTTTGGATTGTATAATATAATTATAATTTTTTATTATTTCATATTGACGTTAAGATTATGAAAACAACAGTTAGTAATCAGATTACGAAAAAAAAAAAAACAGGTGGGTTCCATGTGCCTAACTACGGTACTGAGATATAGCGTGTATGTGTCACGTGTGTGTATAGGGGGAACATCTCGCGCGTGCATACTTGATTCTTGATCTTGTGTAACATAATGTTCACAAATCTTTTAGCACTAAATGCGCGATATAAATACAATTCCAAATGTTTATAAACAAACTTGAATTTTTTATATGTACATTTCGAAGTATTGTACATTTAATAAAATTAAAAATTATGAATGAAGAAGGTAACAATGATATGAGAATAAATAGAATTTAATATTACTATTAACCAATTACTTCCTCCACTCACAATCTTTAATGTTTCAATCTCTTATAAAATTGCGACATATATGGGATGAGAATCGGGATTTAAACCATGAATCGCCATCTACGAATCGATCGCTCAAAAATAGGGATATGTGGCACTCCTTTCATCTTAATATTAAGATGAAAACTCGTTTTGGGGAACACATATTTCAATATTCACAGATCAGGTTTATATCATTTAATAGTATCATTAGATTCTATTTATTCTCTGTCGACCAAACTTTAATCAATAATAATCACAGGGTAGAATAAATAAATCTCTTATATATGTCCGTTCCTACCATTAAAGATTAATGTTAATTTTAATTCAACTTATTTTTCATTTTTTTATAATTTTTAGAATTAGAAAAAAATGAAGAGTTAATTGAACCGAGATTAAAATTAATTTACAATAACAGAAACGGGCATCAAGGTAATAATAAGAACAATGTCATAATATTGATTACTTACGGGTCTGGCGATATTTGCCGGTCTATTGAGAAGCGAGCCCGTTTTTCTAGCCGAGGAAGAATGGTTCAGGGTAGGACTGATACTACCAAGTCTATTACCATTACTGTTACTGGATTCTCGACGCTGCTTTTTAGCCGGTCGACGTTCTGCACCGCTGTCGCTGAGACGCTTGGTGGTTTTAGCAACAGTCTCCTGTAGCAGCAGAGTTATTCAGTTTGCATATATAATACAAAATATAATTAAAAAAATACTTTTGGCAATTGTTGCTGAGAAATGGAAGATGGGTTCGCTGCTGACCTTTCGCGGCTTCGGTGTTTTGACGACGGGCGTTTTCTTCTCAGATACAGTCTCTTCTTTGAGTCTGTCGAATAAGGAATCTGGATCCAAACCATCCTCAAATACCTGATGCATCAATGTAAGTGATTGTTATTTTCAATGTAATCAATTTCTATTTTAATATTCCAGTAACATGTAAATTTTATTTTTTATTTAACTTTCAGCATTAAATTAATTCTATATATATATATATATATGTATATGTATGTGTATAAAATGCCATCACTAATACAATGTTCAACATATTAGTTAAGTTATTAATTTAATAAATTAATGAAGTTAATATTAAATTATTTATAACAAATTATAATACACCTATGAATAATTATCAAACATACGAAAATCTCGCTCACCTCTCCTTTGGCGATAAAATCTTCTATAGCTTCCACTGCATCTTTGAATGCTCCAGATTTGCTAGATTTCACTAAAGTATCCTTATACTCTTGGTAGGGCTTAATGTGGGATTCTTCTATCCATGCGCTACAAGAAAGACATCATTGAGAATTACAAATCATAGTAACATTCTATGAGTAAAATGAGATAAACAATCTAAAAATAGAACTTACTAATTGTTTGTCCCAAAGAAGAAGATACATTGTACTGGTCCCTTTTTAGCATTCGCAGGCTTCTTCAAGTCCTTTGAAGGAACTGATACCTTTACATGCATTATAACATCAACGTATAAGTACTGAGAGAATTATAATTAATGTTACAATACTAATAATAATCGTAACATTTATTTTATCATATACATCTTGAATTCAATTTCAATTTACGATCCATTTGGGAAACAAAATCATTGAAAATAATATCGAACTTTTTTACAAAATAAAAACAATATACTTATTTAAAAAAATAATGTTAACAAAATATTTTCGATGCTACACAATTATCGCGTGTACAAATCATTAGGTATAAACTTTTAATAATTTTCAGTGCATTTTAAAATTAAGAAAGATAAACATATATATAAGAAATAAATTTCCATCATTTTTTCCATCTGTAAACGCTATGTTTTATAATTACATGTAGCTTTCTCTTTATATCAGGATTAAACTTTTCGACCTAAGACCATATCCAGACTGTTCCCAGATAGAATATAGATGTCATAATAATATTATAAGGACGTCTCTTTCATTATCGCCCATATTCATAGTCAGACCTTGCACTTAAGAGTTCCTTAAATTTATCTTTAGATGCTCAGTAGCCAATAAAATAATTCGTAGAGCATCTGAAAATAAATTTAAGGAAGCCTTAAATATAAGGCCTGATTATGAATACAGACCTATGATCTTATTTGTCACTTACAAGCAAATTTATTGGTACTATATAAGAAAACTTATAAGTAACAAATGTCATAATAAGGTCCTATGGTACAATACTATTATGGCTCTGTTCTACCTCGGAGTTGATTGTGTATTTTGAAATTAAATGAAAATTACAAAAGTGAACAAAATTACCAAAACATGTATAATTTCAATGACCATTGCCTAGAATTTGCCCACTTTTATAATTTTGATTTCATTTCAAAGTATACAATCGACCCCTTGGGTTAATAATTCACCCTAATATTCGTACGGCCCTGCCGTGCACAGGCGGTTGCCGCGTAAAAACAGCTTCCAAAGAACTGCGGGAGTCATCCGTTGAACTTCCTAATCCTATTCTTTCTCTTTTCTTCTCTCACATACTCTCGCATGACAGAATATTCGTCTAGGGGAAGATATAATCCGATCATAATCCAATCTTATATTCAAGATCATCTCAAGTCATAATTAGTCTTACGATCCGATTCAAACAATATCGCGCAACGTCTATATATAAATAATATAACGTCTCAAGATCGTACCTAAGGACGCGTTCTTGACTGTAATATCGCGGAATATGATTACCGGCCTCACTGGAAACGTAGAAAATGCATCGTTGACAACCTCGGGGACCTGGCGTAATCGCAGACCGCTCGCTCGACACGCCGCTGACGTCACACGCATTTCCGCCAATCGGAAAGGGGGAGATGGATTACGCGGGACAAATTCTGAAGTCTCGGCGACAGCGGAACGTCCCGTGGTACTGGTCGACCCACAAGAAATTTCGAAACCTGCGGCGGGACGTGTGACTGGAAGGGTGGGGAGAGGAGACTCCATCCTGCTGGGAGCTCGCCGAGCATGGAAAGTGGATCCATGGGAGGTTGAAAGGGATTTAGGTTATAAGCCCCCGCGGCTTGCGCGCCAATTTGAATTCGAAGGTCGGGTGTGGCGGGAGACAACACTGCTCCGTACGACGCGATGCGCCGCGGCCAGTGGCGTCGACAGCTGGTGCACTCCGTCGCGGCGGCGAACGTCGACGGGGCAGAACGACGCGAAAACCGCCAAATACGAGCGCGCGCGCGCAGAAGCGATGTTAACGGGAAGAGAAGCGCGAACCCGCGTCGCGAAGCTTAGAGACAATCGAGGGGAGGGGGACTCCACTTACCCGGCCGGGCCACGGCGAGAATCCCTTCATCTTCGCCCTGAAAGTCAGAAAAAAAAAGATGTACGAGATGAAATTAGATTTTACGAACGAACACGGGATACACGATTGCGTTACCGCGCGCACTTGAAATACGCACCATACTAGATCACCCAGTTTGAATACTTCCGACATCGCGAGGACGATGAACAATGCTGAACGTACTACTCCGAACGTCAGCGAGCGACTGACTGGCGTGCGGAGCGTCGTTTGTGCACGACGACATGACCGCAAGCCGCGCCATCTATGCGTTCCCTTTTCGAGCTTCCCCCCCTCGCCGTGACACTTTACTTTGCGCTAATCGACTGAGATGCAAGTAGATAATATTTCTGTATATAACGTGATGAAATTAAAGCGTTGTTCTTCCTGAAACGTAAATATTGTGCCACGAAACTACTCGGAAAAACGACGAGAGAATTATTAAGGTTGTTTTCCGGCGTGCCGCGCTACTTCCGGCGGCTAGAGTCCCGTCCTAAAGAACGTTCTACAATGCAAACATCTGTCGCCTGTCGCAATGCTTCTCAACAGCCAATCAGAAACATCAATAATTGCTATCGACGCTTCCGAGTGCTTTCCGTTTAGTAACACAAATCGACATGTTCTGTCTTTAATTAATTTCTTTTTAAAAGGCTTTCTACAATAAATCATTAATAATAAATCCTAAATCAGAAGCTAGAAATTGACCAATCATAGTCGAATGTAAAAAGAATAATCGACTATGATTGGTCAATTTTTAGCTTCTGCTTCTGTCTTCTGATTTATTATTAATTATTTATTGTAAAAAGCCACTAAAAAATACAGAAGACAAATATCGTTCTATTTTTTTATTCATTGAATGCCAAGAAAGATAAAACAACATTTGTGTCTTTTAAAAGAAAAGCAGCCTTTGTTATTGGAATATAAAAAAAATATCTATAATCGGACCGAGAAATCTGTAGCCAGTTAACTTGCAGTTTTTACTCTGGATCTACAATAGGGTTTTAAGCCTTAAGCCATAAGAAATGGGCGAATCACAGTCGATTATTCTCCTCGGATTCGACTGTAATTGGTCAATTTATTACGGCTTAAGGCTTAAAACATCTATTGTAGATCCGAGGTAATTGATCAGTTTCTTATGGCTAAAGTCTTAAAACATCTATTGTAGATCCGGACTTAAGGCTTAAAACTCTATTGTAGATCCGGACTAAATATAAGATCTGACTACGAATACCAGTCTTTTTTATACTACACTATTGTGTATGCGGGATAATGCGGGGTCTGCAATAGAAGTCGTAGCGGTCTTAGGGTCTTAAGTCGTAGAAAATTGATCAATCATAGTTGGTTATTCTTCTCATATTCGACTGTGATTGGTCAATTTTCTACGACTTCTATTGTAGACCCCGCATAAATGTCGACTCGCAACTCACGACTGTGACTAACCAGTAACCAATCATCGCTCGGTATTCCATGTCCGCGCTATCCGAATTTCCAGATATTGAAAATGTGATGCTTGTAAATTTACTGATGATAATAAAATAAATATTTGCAGAATTAAAAAAAGGAGAAAGAAGGGATGATTGATTGTACGAATCGATCCAGTGCGATCGGAGCCTGAGGAACCTACGGTCCCGTAGATTGGCGTAGATCGAGAAAACGATAGACGTCACTCCAGGACGATCGCCAGCCGTCACGTCGATTACGACTTATTAGCAATACCAGCTGTCAAGACATCGATTGCGAACGCATTTTACCGTTTGTCTCGGGCTCGGGCAAGGGTGTCCTGCAAACGTGTACCGTCCTCTCAAGAAAAGTTTTCGCGATTTATAGTCTCGTAGCCGTGCCGTGCAAATCTGATCAGAAATGGACAATAACGCCCGTCATAATACGGTATGTCTACCCCATGACGAGACTGCAAATTGCTGTGATTTCGCGTTTACCAAAAGCTCTCGGACATAATCTTGTCTATTCGCACAAAATACTTTTTATTGTCACGTTGACAAGTCTGTGATCGTCAACGCGTTTCCTCGCGCGATCGTAGTCGGCTTTGTGTTTGTCCTGTCATACGCTTGTCCTTGTGTTGTTTTAATTCTTTCTGCGCAAAAATATCACGTCAGTGGTCTAATTTCCACCGAAGCATTAATTCACATCTAATGCAGCGTAGAATCAAAATTTAAATCGATAGAAATGCGTTTGACTATGCTCATTTCACTGTCGCTTCGAGATCCACAAGGTCTCTACTTCCAACGGAAACGTACTGCACCAAAGTGAAACCGATTGAGGATTTTGATGGAAATTAAACTACTGTTATCTATGATCCAGAAAAGCTTATACACAATAGTTGCTTTTCATTTGCACTAAAACTCAGATAAAATTCTTATTTATGAAGTCATAACTCAGTTGAATGAATGTTCCTTTTCATTCTGACAAGTAAGATTCAACTGAATTTTTATCTATAATGTACAAAAGTTCGAGACTGCGTGTTTTACTGAATGTTATTAAATCACATTAAAAAGAAGAGATTATAATTTTGTATTGTTATACAATAACTTTATTACCAAAGTAAGCAAGTGATATCACTATCTCAATATAAAATAGTCATAACTTTATATTTAGTATTATTTGAGTGAATAATGGAAAGCAATTAATATGTACATTTTGATTCAAAAAATTTTTGTTAGCTATTCTTGCCAAAGGCAGAACATTCAAAGGGTAATAATAGATGCTTTACTGCTTTTTTTTTATGACAAAGTGATGCAAGTGTCATTTTATGTTTGTAACTCACTTGAATGTCATGAAAGATAATGATGTTTGTGTCACTAAATGGAAAGCATCCAATACCTTGTGAGTTATATAGATTACTGAGATTTGTTTTACGTATTGTTTTATATAGCCACCTCAAATAGGTACAGATACCGGTGGTGAAACATCAAGTCAAAACGAAATTCCTACAGTTACTGTAGCAATGCCATTTTTGCAAGTCGACATGCTTGGACATTCTGGAGCGTCCACTGCTGCTGCACACTCTACGATAAACCGAATGGTAATATACTATAATATAACATAATAGGAAGGAGGCTTTTTCTTTGTAACTGAATTAACTTACAGTATATTAGTTGTTTTAAAAATAGAATATATAGAAAGTTTTAGTGTAGTTTTAATACAAATAAAGGACAAGCTCATTATTACATAACGTTATATAAATTACATTATTATATCAGTTTTATATAATTTATGTAGTCTATGTAATTTATGTAATGTTTTATGTAATTTATATTAATTTATGTAATTTGACATAAATGCGTGTAAATTACGTAATATTACATAATACATAAAATATGTATAATTTTATATGATTTGAATAACTGTTAACCGAGTAAAATTATTCAGGCTGATGGGGAAGAGATTCCACCTCCGAAACTAGATTTCTCTGCACCACCACCTTATGAAGTAGCTACAAAATTACCCAGTTATGAAGAGGTTCAGCGTGAAAAGACTCTACAGGGAGAACCGCAACCTCAAATACACATGGTATACGACTGGACTATTCAAGAAAATTTTAATATATGTAACTATATTTCGAAATATTCTGTTTCTAAGGAGCTCTAAATCTCTTTTTACAGTCAGGAAATATTAGACCACCACAGCAGCCTTTAACAATATTGGCAATAGATACTGAAGCTGCAGAAGGAGATCCAGAAAGTGGACTACTTGGCACAGATTTTATGTTCTTCACAGCGTTTCTTGGTGAGATATCGTTATATTATAAGTTAAAGTTTAAATTGATAAAAATTTAATACGAAAATATATCCTCATTCTACAAAATCTAATATCTTTCATAATGATAATTATTTGCATTAATTTACCTTTACAGTCGCATTTTTATTCAACTGGATCGGATTTTTGTTACTGATGTGTTTCTGTCACACTATTGCTTCTCGTTACGGTGCACTAGCTGGCTTTGGATTGTCTCTCACAAAGTGGACACTCATTGTTAAACACTCTACCGACCTTGCTTCGCGAGAGAATTCATGGCTGTGGTGGTTGATAATGGCATTTGGTTTGTATAATGTTTAAGACAGATAATTAAACTTACAAACGAAAGATGTTTTAAACGAAGGCAACTACTAAGAAGATACATTTTGATGCGATTTACTTTTCCAGGTGTTCTAATTTGTGTACGTGCCATCATTCAATATTTAAACATCAAACGAGGATGGAGATTACTGTCTGGAAGCGCACAGGAGCGTTTACTTTTTTTCTATTAAAAATCATTAAATCTGCACCTTTTTTTCTTTATCAACTTGGCTTTAGAACAAACAAGCATTTCTATGTGGGGTCATATTTGTATAATATATAATCGACTTTCTCTCTTAACGGAGAACATCGTGTAGATCGTAATATCTGTCAATCGTATCTATATATAACAAAAATGAGAACTTTAAAATGATTTGCCAAATTTGCTGTGTAAAACGGATTAGTACGACTAAAAAAAAATGACAAAAAGAATTAGCTCGTTTTTCGCATATACTCATATATATGGAGGGCATACAAACGCTATTTTATGTGATGTTATATATAAGCTACGGGAAAAAACAAATGTACATTTTTATTGCTCAAAATAATACGAACAATGCTTTAAATTAATGATTTTATTCGTTTTAAGCGTTGTTCATTTGAATGTAAATCGCTGAAGAAGGTAAACGTGCAGAGCACATGTCAAATTTATGAAAAATTGACAAGTCAAAATGAATCGCGTAAAGAGATAAAATATACGATTCGTTATTATTTCGAAAAAGTAAATTATATAAATAAAAGTTTTCTAATAGAATATAATACATTTCTAGTGTTAGAAAAGCTTCTAGAGATTGACTATTTACTAAATATGATAAGTATATTAATATCTGGCTTGTTTATATAGATATTATAATTTATATATATACATAAAATATATATAGCGAGAATTCTTGAGGAAGAATTCTGAAATATAAATAAAAATGATAAATATTACATATGTGTATTAAAATTTATTATATAAAGTAATATGCGAGTACATGTTATTCTGTGAGAAATTTCATTGTTATACTCATTACAACGATAAAACGAAGGAGTATTTAAAACTTTATATTTCTCCCCCTCCTTATGTTACAAAAATCGTAGTTCTTTAAATTTTGGAAAATTCTTGAACATTAGGAAAAATTGTCGAAATT